TTGTTAGGGGTTTTTATAATATATCTATATATATATATATATATATCAATATATACTTAACATCATAGACACACTCAATTACACACAGACACACTTACACACACACACACACACCCAAAAATTTTAAGGGAAAAAATTAAAATAATAAACAAAAAATATATAATAATAATAATAATAATTTTCTTTAGCGCCTAATATAAACAATAAATCAAATTTTTTTTCAAAAATAATTTTATAATATAAATAACTTGTGTTTATTTATTTATCTATTATCTAAAAATTTTTTTGAAAATTTCAATGCAATTTATATTGAAATATATATATTTATTTATAGTATAGTATATATATATTGATATAATAAATTTAATCATATTTAATGTATTTTTATAAATAAAAAAAACAAAATTAAATAATATAATTCAACTTTCATTTAGAAAAAAATAATATTTTATATATGTTTATATTATTTTAATATAAATATCATATATTTTGAAATAATAATAATAATAATAAAATTATGCTTATATCATTTTTGTTTTTTTAACTAACTCAAAAAATATATGATCAAGCAGTTTTTCAAAAAAAAAAATAAAAAAAACATTATTAGTTAGTTAGTTTTACTGATAGTTAATTGAATTAACTGTTTAGTAAAATTAAAATTTGAAAAATTATAAATTAATTTATGATTATTTAAACTTTTATTTAATTATTATTTTTTTAAACTAAAAAAAATGAATTCAAAATTTATTTTTTATTTTTTTATTATTTTGATTTTATCAATATTTATAGATTATTCTGCAGGTAAACTAATTTCAAAAAAATAAAATTATTTTATTAATATATATAAWTTTTTTTTTTAAATATTGATTTTAAATATAGTATATTTATACTATTTATTATATATTTTTTTAATTATCTAGGTCAATTTGGTTGTCAAAAATTGGATCAACAATGTAATAATGATGAACTAAGTTGCTGTCCAAATCATTATTGTACTCAATGGAGATGTATGTTTTTATTTTTTTTTAATTTTTTAAAATTTAAAAAAAAAATATTTATATTAAAAAAAAAAGTTTAAATAAACATTAGATAAAGTAATAATTATTTTTTTCTAAAACTATTATTTTTATTTTGTTATCTAATATAATATATAATAATAATTGATTTGATTTTTTTGAAAAACTAATTTTATTTTATTTTGATTTTTTTGTAAATTTTTTTTTTGATATATTTATTTTAGGCCAAAAATGTCTAATAATAGGCACTCATTGTACTCATAGCTATCAATGTTGTCCACAGTTTGAATGCACTAGAAATCAAGTTTGTTGGTTTAAAGTTAAAACTTAATGTTAAAATTTTAACTAAAATCAAAATTTTGTTAAAAAAATAAAATGATTTTCAATTTTTATTATTATTATAATTCATTTTTTTTAATCAATGTGTATTATTTTAATTAAAAATGAGTTCACTAATGTAGTTTTTTGATAATAAAAATTAATAAAAATAATTATATTTGATTGTTAATTTATTATTATTATTTTTTAAATAATAATATTACTATAGTTTAATGTAATAATTTTTTATTTCATATAAATAATTATTAAGATAAACAAAATGTTTATCAAAAAAAAAAATATATATATAATTTTATATTATATTATAATTATTAAATAATTTTAATTGTTATTAAAATAACATAATAATTAATTAAAATCAATTAATAAATAGGTATAGATGAATGAATAATCAAAATTGTAATTTTTTTTAATAAAAACATTATAATTTACTTTAAAAATTTATAATGTTTTTTTATACACAATAAAAATTATTATTTTACTTTAAAACTTACTAGTATATTTACTAAAAATATAAAAATATGTTTACCTAAAATCAGTTTAATTAAAATAATTATTTTTTAATTTGTTAATAAATACATTTTATATATATATATATATATATATATTTATAAAAATTATATTATATTAAATTATATTAAAAATATATAAATTACAGCTTATAATAGTAATATTTAAAATTAATGATAATATAATTCATAATAAAAAAAACTACTACTTGTTTATAGTAAACAATATAAGATATTGTATATTATTGAATAGATAAATATATATAAAAATTAAAAAAAAAATGAAATAATAATTAATTTATTAGTACTGTATATATATATATATATAATGTATAATTTTTTTTGTTTTAACCCCCCTCCTTGATTTTTTTTGATAAATAATGTTTTTTTTTGTGTTATTTGAAAATAGTTATAATATACAGTAACAAAACACTTGAAATTATTAATCTTATTTTATTTATTAATTTTTTTATAATCAATTATTGATATACTACAACTTATTAACACGGTTAAGCATAGGGGGGGGGATTAATTTGGGCTTGCCAAATTAACCACTCACCCCTTAAAATTAATATTTTTTGATTTGTTGACCCAATTTATTTTGACCAAATCGAAAAAAAATTGTAAAATTTTAATTCATACTACTTTTAAGTTTTTTTATATGTTATTATTAGTGTCTTGATTTTCAACTAAAAAAATTATTTTGTCGGTTCAACGCTTATAACTGGGACTTAGTATGTCCACCGAAGTTGACCAGTGGACGCTATTTTGGAAATTTTATTATAACTATAAATAACTATTTGTTGGGTTAGCAACTATAAAAACTTATAAATAATTATTTCATTGATTTTGAAAAATATAAGCATTAAATTGTAAAATTAAGTACAAATATATGTAAAAACAAAAAGTAATAATTATATAAATTATATATAATGTGTAAGCTGTTATCAACTCATATTACTTTTTTAACAATAGAAATAATTAGTTTATTTATATAAATCATTTTTGTAAATATGCTGCAAACAAATGAATATATATCAGTTGAAATATTTATAAAAAAATAAATAACTATTTCAATAACTATTTGGCTTTTTTAGCAACTATATACAACTATTTAATACAGTTTAAATAACTATTTTAAAAACTATTTGACTTTTTTAAGCAACTATTATAACAACTATTTAATAGAGTATAAAAAATTATTAATCAATACACTAGTTATTATATTAAAAAAAACAATTTATTTAAATCTAATTTTTACTTAAAAATAAGTTTAAAAAATTAGTTAAAATTAATCTAAATATTCCTTGAATTTTTGAAATATTTTTAGGAAATTTTTTCGTGACCACACCCACCCTCCCATGATTTTTTTTGTTGACTAACCCCTATACCTCCCACCCCCCCCCCCTAAAAAATCCAAAAACCTTGCTTAACTACTGGTATAATGTACTTAATTGTAATATTTTTTAAGGTTATCTCACTTTTTGTTTTATCAAATCTATAATATTTTATATACAGTATATGTTTTGCTAATTGTATAAATAGCTCAAACAATTTCAAAAATTAGAAAAAATAAATATATTTATTAAAATAAAATTTTGTTTAAAAAAATGAAATTATCAATATTATTAGTTGGTTCAATAATATTAGCTAGCTCATTATATGCTAGTAGTAGTAATATTAGTAATAGCAATGAGTTTAATGGGAAAAATTGGGTTATATTATGCTCAGGTAGTAAAACCTGGTATAACTATGCTCATGGTGTAAGTATATATATATATATTTACAATAAAATTAACATGTACAATTTTGTTTCTAATATTATTATTATTTTTTAGTCAAACATCTATCACATGTATCAGCTATTCCGGGCCCGGGGTATACCCGATGAGCAGATAATTGTTTTACATTACGACGATTTGGCTACTCATCCGAGAAACCCGACACCCGGACAAGTGATTAATACGCCTACCGGTCCCAATGTCTACGTGGATGTACCCAAACATTATACAGGCAACGATGTTAATCCGGAGGTAAATTATTATTGGAAATTATTAGTAGAAATTACATCGAGAAACTTGCACCCAATAAAAAATAATATAGGAATTTTAGCATGCTAGTATCAAAATTTTAGCATGCTAGTATTAAATTTTAGCATGCTAGTATTAAATTTTAGCATGCTAGTATTTTTAATTTTAGCATGCTATTTTTTTAATAATAATAATATTTTTTTTGACCATGCTTAGAATTTTCTAAAAGTACTTAAAGGTGATAAAGAGTTAGAATCGCGGGGCAAACGTGTATTAAAATCGGGACCCAATGATCACGTTTTTGTTGTATTCAATGATCACGGTGGACCGGGTATGTAAAATTTTAGTATGATTAAAAAATTTTTTTAGTAATTTTCTAAAATATAGTTTAATTAAAAAATACGAAAAATTTAGCTAGTTAATATTTATTTATTTTTTGGTATATTCTATTAATAAAAATTATTATTTTTATTATATATTTATAGGACTTGTAATGTTTCCCAACGATCCACTACACAATACCGAATTAATAGGTGCACTAAAATATATGCATCAAAACAATATGTATTCAAAATTGGTTTTCTATTTGGATGCATGCGAATCAGGTAATTGTAATTATTATTTTTTTTAAAAATAATTTTAACTAAAAAAACTAAAAAATAAAACATAAATATAATATTTCACAATAATTATTACAAATAATAATTTTGAATTTTTAGTTAAGTATATTATATAATCTATTTTTTAAAAATAATTTTTTGATAAAAAAACTAAAAACTAAAAACATAAAAATATTATTTCTTAATAATTAGTATAATTACTAAAATTAAATTTTTAGCTAAGTATCTATTTTAAATCTATTTTTTTATTGTAATAAATTTTTTAAAAAAAAATATTAATAATTAATTAAATAATCTAGGTTCAATGTTTGCTAAACTATTGCCTGATAATCTAAACATCTATGCTGTTTCATCAAGCGCACCCGATCAGGACTCATATTTTTGGTATATGGAAAAAAAATTTGACAGTGTACCATTAAGTAAATTTTCAAAAAAAATTATAAAAAAATTACAAAAATATTAAATTTGACCTTGACTTTGACCTTGACCGAAAAAACAACTATAGGTGCATGGTTTATTATTAATTTTATCAACCATACTACAAACAATGATATGAGCACAGTTACCTTGGACAGACAGTACCAGTATTTTGTAGATACCAGTGATATAGTTGATCCAACACAGGGCATGACCAAAGAGCACCCTGGTCATCAGGATAGTAAACGTTATGGTGATCTATCAATTGGCAAACTTACAGCTGATCAATTTTTTGGTAATTTATTTTTTTTTWAAAAACWTAAAAATTAAAAAAATAACTATTTTTATAAAAACAAAAATTTAGCATGCTAATAATTAATTTAATTATTTTTTCTAGGTAAACTTAAACATAACATATCATACCAACCAATTGAATTTAATAATAATAATAATAATAATAATGTAATTGAGCATGCTAAACATATTGATCTACCAATTTATTTGGCTGAACAACGTTTAATAGATGCTAATACTAATAGTGATAAATTAAGGTAATATTATTTATTATTATTAATTTTTTTTTAAATTATTAACAATTTTTGTTTTTAAATTTTAATAACAAATTATTCAATTTTTTTCCTGTTTTTAATAGATATGTTGCAAAACTTGAGAGTCTATTGAATGGTCGGCAACTAATTGATAATAGTTTTGTTAATTATGTCAAACAAGTGATACATTTGTTATCATCAACTAGTGTTGAATCGATAGTCAATAATAAACTAGAAATCAAAAACAATGATCAAAATAGACATTGTTATCGACAATTGGTTAATACATTTCATCGCAAATGTTTTAACTTGAATCAGGTATTAATTGTATTATTAAAAAAAATAATTATTTATTTTTTAATTTTTAAAAAAAATTATATTTATATAGAATCCATACGTATTGAAAAAATTGCAAATATTTGTCAATATTTGCAATTCAATCAGTAATTCAATAGATAGTGAAATAATTGATAAACAATTGCAAAACTATTGTCTGGAAGATCAAGAGTTTACTACTGTTACTGATATTGAATAAAAAAATTTTAAAATGTAATAAATTTTACTGAATTTATTAAATATTATTTTTTGAAAATAAAAAACTTAAAAATATTTTTTTTGTAATTTATTAGAAAATAATTAAATAATTAATCTAAATAAAATAATTTATTAATTGAGTTTTGTTTAAAAATTAAAATTTATTAAATAAAAAATAATTAGAAAAATTTTAATTTTCAAAAATAATTTGTTTGTTTGTTTATGAATATTATAAATAATTATTTTTGTATTTCATAAATTTATATAATAATAATTAAATAATAAATAAAATAATAATAAACAAAAATTATTAATTAACTAATAAAACTAATACTATTAAAGACAATTTTTTTAATTAAAAAAATTGCATTTTATCAATATTTATGTTGCAATTGTTTTATTATTATTTTTTTTTTAATTTTTTAACTAGTGTTGAAGATTTTATCACGTTTTTTGTAAGATACTAACCGTGACTTGTATTTAACTTTTTATTAAACATTATATAAATATTTTAATTATTATATAAGTAATTAGTAGTAATATCAATTATTAATATTTAATATTATTTTTTAAATTACCAGGATCAGCGGACCAGGATCTTGTTTGTTACACTATTTTGTACTTAAATTGAATTTTACTTAATATATATATATAGCACCTGCACTTAAGATAAAAAATAATAATATTTTTCAAATATTATTTAATATAAAGTACATAATTAACAAATATATATATATATTGCATTTTTGTTGAGAAACTTTTATTTTTTAAAAAAGTAATAATATATTAGTTATTAAAAATAAAAATTATTATGTATTACACCATAGGCTTTATATTTTTAAGTAATAATTTAATAATCAACAACAACAAAAAATAATATAATAACTTATTTTATCATTATTTATGCAAAAAAAATAAATAAAATAGTTTCGTAACTAGTGTTGCAGTTTTTTTCCTGAAAAAAGTACATGCATTATCTGTATACTTAAATTTTATAATTTTATAAATACATTATATAATACAGTAGTTTATATATATTTATAATAATTAATTTTTATAGTTATATTCAATAGTTATATTTAGTAATATCAACTATTAATTATTTTAATTTATTAATTAATTTTATTCATAATAAGTAATTATAATTAATAATTAATATTTTTTTTTTTAAAATAACTAAAATTTTGTTTGATTACACTAATTTGAACTTTTGAAATTATAATGTACTAAAACTAGAAAATTGATAATGATTAAAAAAAATTATCTACAAATATCTAATTAATATATGATTATCATTTAATTTTGTTTTGTTTAGACTACCTTGATCAAATATGTGAAAGTAACATAAAAATATATATACTATAGTTTGTAAACTTATCACTCAAACTATTATATTAAAATCAAGTATATAAATAGATAGTATTTTTTCTAAATTAATTTATATGTTTTAAAACAAATATATATATAATACAAACAAAAAAATTATTTAATATATAAATAATAAAATGTTTAAATTATTTATAATTTTGTGTACAATATATCTGGCATTTGGTGGCCTAATAATCGACAACAATAATAGTAACAGTGATTATGAGTTTACTGGTAAAAGTTGGGTAGTATTGTGCTCAGGTAGCTCCGGTTGGAGTAACTATGCTCATCAGGTATGGTGCTTAGAAAAAAAATTATTATATTTTTAACTAATTACTATTATTTTATTTATTAAAGGCTAACGTCTATCACGCCTATCAAACATTCCGAGCCCGGGGTATACCCGAGGAAAACATCATAATCTTTCATTACGACAATATAGCCAACAGTACATCAAATCCGACACCCGGTGTTGTCATCAATTCGCCTACCGGTCCCAATGTCTACGTAAATATACCCAAACATTATACTGGCGATGATGTCAATCCAGAGGTAAGTTATGTTTTTATTTTGTTTATTTAAACATTATATATATATATAKTAGATATTAAATAATAAATACTATAAGTATAATATAATAAATAAAGTATTTTAAACAATAGTTATTCCACCCCAAAAAAATATTATTATTATTATATTAATAAAATTAATTTATCATATAATAATTTTTGAAAAAAATAATATAAAATTTTTATTTTTTTTTAATTTTAATAATTAACAATATTAAATAATAAATTATTAAATGATATTTTACTAATCTAAAATAATTTATTTTAGATTACAATAGAAATGATTTGTAATAATCATAATTAAATAGTTACAGTTATTTTTTTTTATAATTGTTAATAAATATTATTGTTGTTTATAATTACTAATTACTAATTTTATAATTAATATTATATAACTAATTGCTATTAATAATCCTAAAAATTATCTCTGTGTATCATAAGAATTTTAATTAATATTTAATTATTATTAAATTATTATTTAATTTATAAATATATAAAAAAATATATTCTCAAAGTAATAATAAATAACTATTTAAACAAAAATAATATTTACTAATAAATATTTGTTTATCAGAATTAGAAAAAAATTAAATAACAAAATATATTAATAGTTTTAAATATTTTTTAAAATTATTTTCTAGTTTTCTAATTTACATAATTTTAAAAAATTACAATAAATGCTTAACAATTACTAATAGTTAAAATAGTTACAGTTTTTACATTTATTATGTTTATTATTAAATATTAAATTATTATTTTTTTGTTTTTGTTTTTTAATAGACTTTTCTCAAAGTACTTAAAGGTGACAAAGATCTGGAATCGCAGGGAAAACGTGTACTAAAATCGGGACCCAATGATCACGTTTTTGTACAATTTACAGACCATGGTGCACCGGGTATGTTACTGTAATTCTCTAAACAAACAAAAAAAAACGATCTAGTACAATCAATTTTGTTTATTTATTTATTAAAAAAAAATATTATGATGTGTTTTTTATAATAAATAATTTATTTTTATTTATTTTTTTTAATTATATACTAAATTTTTTTTATCATCCAAGGTATGGTTATGTTTGAATCAAATCCATTGCATGCCCAGGATCTAAATGATGCCCTAAAATATATGAATGATAAACAAATGTTTGCTAAACTAGTTTTCTATATAGATGCATGTGATCCAGGTTAGTTTAGTTAGTTATTTTTGATATTGTTAATTTAATAATAATAATTTTTGTTGTTGTAAATATTTAATTAATTTACCAGGATCAATGTTTTATAATTTGTTGCCCAACAATATCAATGTCTATGCGGTAACATCGGGCAAACATAACGAGTTGACCTATTTTTGGTGGTATTCACAAAAATTTGATACATTTATTAGTAAGTCTATAAATTTAATGATTATATTATCATTTTTTCAACAAAAACAAAAAACAAAATTTATTTTTATTAAATAATTTTAATGTAACAAAAAAAAGCACTTTTTTAATATAATATATTAGGTATATTTATATGTAGAAATCAAAAAACAAAAATTATATAAATAAAAAATTGTTTTATTTTAAAAAATATAAATACAATATATATATATAAATATCTAATAAATTTAAATATATTACCACACATAAATATATAGATTATTAATTAATTAATTAAAAAAAATTGTTTTCATAACTATTATTATTATTAACTATTAATATATAATTAATTTTTAATTCATTTATTTAAATACATTTAGCTGCCTGGTTTTTCTCGCTATTTATGAACAATACGGAAACCTATGATTTAAACAGGGAGACCATGGAGGAACAGTATCTATATTTTGCTAACCGATCCGAAATTACCGATCCTAGCTATAATCCAGGTACACATAATGTTTATCAGCATGCATCACACTATGGTGACCTAACAATTGGCCAATTGCCGGCTGCACAATTTTTTGGTATAATTATTTTATAAGTTTTTAATTATTTTTTAAATTTTTAATTAAAATTATTTGTTGAAAAAATAAATAAATAGGTACAAAAAATATCAATGTAACCAATAATGTTGATAATATAGTCGATAATAATGCTAATGACTATGAATATCATGTAACCAATGGACCGATCGATCCCTATATATTTATGGCCGAAAAACGTRTCGAATTGGCCGATAATATTGATAAGAAAATACGGTAAGTTATTTATGGGGTGGGGGGGTTATTTTTTATTAGTAACTATTAGTATTATGAGGTTATACTGTAATTGTATTAATTTTTTATTATTAGTTTTATTTATATTATATATCAGTTTATTTAGATTTTTAATTACTAGTATTTATAACAAGTTATACTGTAATTGTAATAAATATATAATTAAATTTTATTTTCATTGGATATTATATATCAATAGACAAGTCGAAGCATTGGATAGACTATTGAAAAGCCGTCAACTAATTGACCAACAATTTGATGGTTATGTCAAAAGTTTAGGCAATTTGTTGCCCACAGGTGTTGGTATCGAATCGGTAGTCAATAGTAGACTAGAGCTCAACAATAATAGACAGTGTTATAGACAACTGGTCGACACATTTCATCAAAAGTGTATCAGACTATCAAAAGTTTGTTTTTAATTTCTAAAAATTTATTTTTTATTTAATAATAATTTTAATAAATATTTTTATTTTATTATAAACTAAAGAATCCATACTTATTGAGAAAAATGCAAATATTTGTCAATATTTGTGAATCAATTGGTCAGACATTTGAAACTGATTTAGTTGTCAATCAATTGYACGACTATTGCAATGAAAATATAAACAAATTTCAAGAAATTTTCAATTTAAGTGATGATTAATAAAATAAATAAATAAATAATTAGCTAAAAATATTGTAATATTATCTTAATAACATAAATAATATTTTTATATATTTAAAATAAAAYTMAAWTAAGTTAATTAAAAATTATCAATTTATTAATAAACTTAGTAATMATATTATWATTTAAATTATTTAAATTTGTTAAAATTAAAATTATTAGTATTATTATTTTGTATTTGTTCAATAATATTAGCTAGCTCATTAGCTAGCTAATAGTAGTATTATTAGTAATATCAATGACCTTGTATAATTYATGGTGTAAGTGTATATTTATTTATTTTTTTAAAAATAGTTAACATGTACTAAAATTTTAGTAAATTTTTTTTATTATTATTATTATTTAATCAAACATCTATCACATGTATCAATAATATATATCACCTGCACTTAAGATAATAAAATAATAATAATAATGTAATTTAATTTAAAAAGTACATTATAACAAATATATATATATAAATATATTGCATTTGGTTGGGATTTTTTTTTAAATAATAAAAATAATATTTTGTTAAGTTATAAACTAAATTATTATGATTTTTTAAAAAATACTAATATAATAATATCAGCAAAATAAAAAAATGTAAAAAATATAATAATTCATTTTTTCCATTATTTATGCTGAAATTGTTGTGTTTTTTAAAAATAAATTTATAACTAGTGTTACAGTTTTTGTCCCAAACTATGTTATGTCACGTATAGCAAGAAAATCTTSCAAATCAAGTAATTTTATWTACATTTATAATAAAATTTATTTAAATTTAAAAATTTTATTAATTTGTTATTATTAGTATACATTAGTATATTATTAGTAATATTTACTATTAATTATATTTAATTATTGATTAACTAATTAATTAATTTAATCCAGTATTAATAAGTAATTAATWATTAATATWTTTTTAATWACCTAGATGAGATYATCAWATTGTTTGATCGACACACACTATTTTGAACTTAAATTAAATGTACTTGTATATATTTAMTTAAATTACTAATATATAWCACCTGCACATATRATAATAAATTACAATTATTTAATATAAAGTACATAATTAACAAAAAAAATTAAATATTGCATTTTTWTWAAGTAATAGTATWTWWTAGTTATAWTAATCAATTACCCCATAGATTGTATTAATAATATAATAATCAGCAAATAATAATAATAATATCAWAATAKAAACTAGAAAAAATTGATAATKATTTTAAAAATAATWYATTACAACAATTAATATCTAATTAATATATATATTGTATTAWTTAATTTATATTACCTTGATCAATATGTGACAGTAACATTTATTTWWWAAAAAAAAATTACAWTTACTTGTTACAAAATATYAATTATCTAATRTACTTATTATTTTATTTTTTTTGATTAAAYWTATYACTAAAAAAAWTTATTAAATAAAAAAACCTTATTATTACTAATCAAGTATATAAATAGATGTATTTTTTATGTAATAAATTTAYWAWTATATAATACATAAAAATATATATATATATATAATACAAATACTAAAAAAATGTTTAAATTATTAATAATTTTGTGTACAATATATCTGGCATTTGGTGGCCTAATAATCGACAACAACAACAACAATAGTAACAGTGATTATGAGTTTACTGGTAAAAGTTGGGTAGTATTGTGCTCAGGTAGCTCCGGTTGGAGTGACTATGCTCATCAGGTATGGGTGCTTTAGATAGACAAACAATAAGTATTTTTTTTTAATTTAATTAATTAACTATTATTAATTTATTATTTTATTTTCAAGGCTAACGTCTATCACGCCTATCAAACATTCCGAGCCCGGGGTATACCCGAGGAAAACATTATAATCTTTCATTACGACAATATAGCCAATAGTACATCAAATCCGACACCCGGTGTTGTTATTAATTCGCCTACCGGTCCCAATGTCTATCATAATATACCCAAACATTATACTGGCAAAGATGTCAATCCAGAGGTTAGTTATGTTTTTTTATTCGTGTTTATTATTTTAATAATAATAGATATTTAAGTAATAAATACTAGAAATACAATATAATATAATAAAGTATTTTTTTTAAATATAATAATTAATAATAATAATTAAGTCATTATCACATAATAAATTTAAATAGATATATATATAATTAATATTGAATTTTTGTTTTTTACTTTAATATTTTTTTTTAAATACAAAAATATTATTTAAATGTATTGAGGTTAGGAGGTCTCTAAAATATCTAAAATAATTATTTTGAAAATTACAATTCAAATGATTAGTTATAATCATTAATAAATAGTTACAGTTTTTAAAAAAAATTATTTTTATTATTATTATTACAAATTTTGACTGAATCTTAGATAAAACTATTTTTTTAATCATATGATTTTAATTGATATTTAATTATAATTAACTAATTTATATATTATTTTTATCAAAGTATTAAAATAAATATCTATAACAACAACAAAAAATAAAACAAAACATTTATTATAATAAATATTTGTTTATCTTAACTAGAAATTGCAGTTATATTTAAAAATAATATTAATTGTGTTTAGTTTTTTGAATTTGAATTTTATTTAATAATTAGAAAAAAAATTAATTTTAAAATTAACAAAATTAAATCATTAAAAACTGTTACAGTTTTATAATTTTTATATTTATTAGTATTTTTTAAGTACTGAAATAATAACAAAATATATATAATTATCATTTTTTATTAAAATATTATTATTATATTTTTTTATATTATTTGTTTTATTATTAAATAGTTATAATTTTTATTTATTTAATTATTTAAAATAAATTACTAATAATAACTGAAATCAAGAAATATTTATTAAGTATTATTACAGTCTTTTACATTTATTATGTGTATTATTAAATAATTACTATTATATATATATATATATGATATATGTATATATTTATCATTTAATATTAAATTATTATTATATTTTATGTTTTTATTTTTGATAGACATTTCTCAAAGTACTTAAAGGTGACAAAGATCTGGAATCCCAGGGAAAACCAGTATTAAAATCGGGACCCAATGATCACGTTTTTGTACAATTTACCGACCATGGTGCACCGGGTATAGTATATATTAATATAATATTTATAGTATAAATTATCTAATACACATTTAAATTTTATTTTAGTTTAAAAAATTATGTATAATTATAAAAATAAATACATAATTTATTTTATTATTTTTTTTTAAAAATAAATAATATTATCACCCAGGTATGGTTATGTTTCAATCAAATCCATTGCATGCCCAGGACCTAAATGATGCCCTAAAATATATGCATGATAAACAAATGTTTGCCAAACTAGTTTTCTATATTGATGCATGTGATCCAGGTTAGTTTAGTTAGTTATTTTGTTTTATCTATTAATAATAMTAATAATAATATTGAAAAATAAATTTCAATTAATTAATTAACCAGGTTCAATGTTTAATAATTTGTTGCCCAACAATATCAATGTCTATGCGGTAACATCGGGCAAACATAACGAGTTGACCTATTTTTGGTGGTATTCACAAAAACATAGAACATTTATAAGTAAGTAATATTATACTTAATTTTATTTATGTAAAAAAAATTAATTAATTAATTATTAAATTTTTAATTTTTTTAACTAATTATAAGAATAATATTTATTAGTAAAAAATTACAATTTCAACATCAATTGTAACTATTACTGTATAAAAAACTTTTTACATAATTTAATTATATATATATATTTATATGTAGATAATAGTCGTAAATTGTTTAATTAATATTTTTTTACATATATATATATATATATATATATAAATATACAATAGATTACATATATTTTTTTAGTTGTTAGCACATTATGTAGGTTATAATTTAATTAAAATTAATTATTTTTATAATAATAAAATAATATTTACACATTATGTAGATTATGAATTAATTATAAAATTAATTATTTTTATAATAATAATATTTACACATTATGTAGATTATAATTTAATTAAACTTATTTATTAATATTAATAATATTAAACTAAACTATTATTAAAAATATTTAATTTATTTATATAAAAATTAGCTGCCTGGTTTTTCTCGCTATTTATGAACAATACGGAAACCTATGATTTGACCAGGGAGACATTGGAGGAACAGTACGTATATTTTGCTAACCGATCCGAGGTTATTGATCCTAGCTACAATCATGGTACATCAAAAAGTTATCAACATGCATCACACTATGGTGACCTAACAATTGGCCAATTGCCGGCCTCACAATTTTTAGGTATAATTAAGTTTTATTTCAAGTTTTTTTAAAAAAACTAAAATTTTACTTTTTAATAATAAATAGGTACCAAAAATATCAATGTAACCAATGATAATGATAATTATATGGGCGATGATAATGATGATGACTATGAATATCATGTAACCAATGGACCCATCGATCCCTATATATTTATGGCCGAAAAACGTATCGAATTGGCCGATAATATTGATGAAAAATTACGGTAAGTTTTATTTAGTTAGTTTTAATTAATTATATATTAAAAATAGGTTTATAAATGTAATATTTTTTTTTGATTATTATTACTATTGTTAATTAAAGTTAATTAGTAAGTTATTTAGATTATTAATTACTAGAATTAATAGGTTATACTGTAATTGTAATAAACATAATTTTTTTAGGTTTTTAATTAATTATATAATAATAAGTTTTTTATACAGAAAACAATACTAAAAACTAGATAAAGTTAATTGTAATTAATTTTTTTTTAAATTTTTATGATTACTATTGTTTTTATCAATAGACAAGTCGAAGCATTGGATAGACTATTGAAAAGCCGTCAACTAATTGACCAACAATTTGATGGTTATGTCAAAAGTTTAGGCAATTTGTTGCCCACAGGTGTTGGTATCGAATCGGTAGTCAATAGTAGACTAGAGCTCAACAATAATAGACAGTGTTATAGACAACTGGTCGACACATTTCATCAAAAGTGTATCAGACTATCAAAGGTTTGTTTTTTAATTTCTAAAAAATTATTTTTATTTATTTATTTAATAATGATTTTAATAAATAATATATTTTGTTTGTTTCAATATTTTTTGTTTGTATAATAGAATCCATACTTATTGAGAAAAATGCAAATATTTCTCAATATTTGTGAATCAATTGGTCAGACATTTGAAACTGATTTAGCAGTCAATCAATTGGATAACTATTGTAATGAAAATAATAACAAATTTCAAGAAATTTTCAATTTAAGTGATGATTAAAAATAAATAAATAAAAATGATATAATTTTACATAAATATTAACTTGTAACTAAAAAAGTATCCATAAAAACACAAAAAAAAAATAAAATAAAAAATAAGTTTAACAAATAATTTTTGTTGTATATTTGATTTTTTAAAAAATTAATTAATTAAAATTTATAGTTATCTTATTAACTAAAAAATAAAATAAAATAAATTTAATAAAAAATTGCATTTTATTGATGTAATAGATAAAAATATTTTTTTTTATAATTTTGTACTTAAAATTAATTATTGAAAAAATACCCCATAGACATTTATTTCTTGGAAATAAAAAAAATAATCTAAAAATTAAAGATTACMRTATTAAAGTTTTTTTTAAAAAAAAATTGATAAAAATTTAATTTTTATAATTATTAGTATATATATATATAAATATTATTGATAATTAAAATTAATTAATCTCATCATGCTATTAATTGTTACAATATGTTATTGTTACATGGTAAAAAAGTACATTTWATTGTCACATTATATCAATTATTACATATATATATATATATTATGATAAAAATTATCAAAATTTAATTAAATACAAAAAAACTATATAAATAGATTTTTATTATAAAAAAAAATTTAGTTACTTATAAAAAATAAATATAACAATTTAAAAAAATGTTTAAATTATTAATAATTTCGTGTACAATATATCTGGCCTTTGGTGGCCTAATAACCGATAATAATAGTAACAGTGATTATGAGTTTACTGGTAAAAGTTGGGTAGTATTGTGCTCAGGTAGCTCCGGTTGGAGTGACTATGCTCATCAGGTATAGATGCTTAAAAAAAATATTATTATTTTTAATTAATTACTATTAATTTATTATTTTATTCATTAAAGGCTAACGTTTATCACGCGTATCAAACATTCCGAGCCCGGGGTATACCCGAGGAAAACATCATAATCTTTCATTACGACAACATAGCCAACAGTACATCCAATCCGACACCCGGTGTTGTTATCAATTCGCCTACCGGTCCCAATGTCTACATAAATATACCCAAACATTATACCGGCTATGATGTTAATCCAGAGGTTAGTTATTTTAATAAAAATTAATTTTTATAAAATAAATTAACAACTATGAAAAGCTTAATGAAAAAATTATATTTATTTGATTCATTTTTTTAAAAAAAAAATATTAATTAAATTAAAAATTATAGAGTTTTGAGTTGTTTATAAACAATTGTTGATCTAATATTATGCTATTTTCCTATTAGTTGAAATATWTATTTAACTATCTAAAATATATTGATAATTAATTAGTTACAGTTTATAGATATTTATTCAAAAAAAAAATTATTTAATAATTTGGGTATATAGTTTAATATATTCAATTATAATTTATTATATTAAAAGTATTATTTTATATATATATATATATATATATATATATATTATAAAATAKATATTTWTTAATCGAAAAATGTTTGGAAAAAAATATATTTTATAAAAATTTCACCTAGACAAAAAAATATATTCAAAAAATACTATTCATTTTAAAATTACAATCTAGATAAATAATATTTTATTTTTAAATAATTAACTAATTAYAGTTTATCAGTTAACTATAATTAACTGTATAATACTAACTATTAATATATATATATATATTAATTAATATTAATTATATTAATTATATTAATTATATTATTATTATTAAATTGTTATTTTGTTATTATTTTGAATAGACTTTTCTCAAAGTACTTAAAGGTGACAAAGAGCTGGAATCGCAGGGAAAACGTGTACTAAAATCGGGACCCAATGATCACGTTTTTGTACAATTTACCGACCATGGTGCACCGGGTATGTAAACTGTATTTATTTATATATATATATAAAACATGATCTAGTACAATCAATTTTATTTATTATTATTATTTTTTTTTTTAAAAAAAATCATGATGTTTGTTTGTTATTTAAAATAATTAAAATAAATAATTTATTTATATATTTTTATATTATTATAATACTATTATCACCCAGGTATGGTTATGTTTCAATCGAAACCATTGCATGCCCAGGATCTAAATGATKSCCTAAAATATATGCATGATAAACAAATGTTTGCCAAACTAGTTTTCTATATTGATGCATGTGATCCAGGTTAGTTTWGTTATTATTAGTTATTATTTTTGTTTTTTTTAACTATTGTTAATTTAATTTAATAATAATAACTATATTTTTTTAAAATAATTATTTAATTAAYTTAATTTACCAGGTTCAATGTTTTATAATTTGTTGCCCAACAATATCAATGTCTATGCGGTAACATCGGGTACTCATAACGAGTTGACCTATTTTTGGTGGTATTCACCCACATATARAACATATATAAGTAAGTTGTTTAACCAAATGATATAATATTTTTTTATTTAGTTTAAAAATATTAATTAATTTATTAAAAAATATATTTATTTAAATAAAAATTTTTAATACATACACATATACTGTATATACAGTAATTTAAATATATAAATTAATTTTTTGCTAGCTCATAATATACAAAATATAATATAATAATATAATTAAACTATATATTTATATATATATAGATTGTATATATAGTATATATATTAAATGTTATAATTAATTAATAACAGTATATATATTTTTTAAAACTTAACTAAATTACTATTGTTTATATACTATATACTATATATWTACTAATTAATAACTATACTGTACTTTATATATATATAACTTTAAATTAATATACATATATATCTATCTATATATATTTATATATCTATATATATATATATATATATATATATACAGGTGCCTGGTTTTTCTCGCATTTTATGAACAACACTGAAACCTATGATCTAAATAAGGAGACACTGGAGGAACAGTACGTATATTTTGTTAACCGATCCGAAATACGTAAGGGTCTCTATCAACACGCCTCCCATTACGGCGATCTATCAATTGGCCAATTGCCGGCCTCACAATTTTTCAGTAAATATTTTTTTTAAACAAATAAAATGAAATAAAACATTTTATTTATTTTTTGTAAAAAATAACATAGGTACAAAAAATATCAATGTAACCAATGATGATAATAATATGGTCGATGATAATGATAACTATGAATATCATGTAACTAATGGACCCAACGATCCCTATATATTTATGGCCGAAAAACGTATCGAATTGGCCGATAATATTGATGATAAATTACGGTAAGTTTTATTTATGATAGTTTTAATTACTTATATAACAATAGGTTTATAATTGTAATAAATTTTTTAATTTTTATTTTCATATGATATTATATATATATATATATCAATAGACAAGTCGAAGCATTGGATAGACTATTGAAAAGCCGTCAACTAATTGACCAACAATTTGATGGTTATGTCAAAAGTTTAGGCAATTTGTTGCCCACAGGTGTTGGTATCGAATCGGTAGTCAATAGTAGACTAGAGCTCAACAATAATAGACAGTGTTATAGACAACTGGTCGACACATTTCATCAAAAGTGTATCAGTCTATCAAAGGTTTGTTTTATATTTAAATTATTTAATTTTTTTCAATAATTATAATATTATTTTTATTACTATTACTATCTAAAGAATCCATACTTATTGAGAAAAATGCAAATATTTGTCAATATTTGTGAATCAATTGGTCARACATTTGAAACTGATTTAGCAGTCAATCAATTGATAACTATTGTAATGAAAATAATAACAAGTTTCAAGAAATTTTCAATTTAAGTGATGATTAACTATAGAAAGTCATAATAAAAATATTATTTGCAAATAATATTTGTAAAATTAATTTACAATTGTTTGTATTTTTTTAAAAAATATTCTTTCAATTATAATATTAATAAAACTTTGTTTAATATAAATTAAATTAATTTTTTATTTGCAAATAATTTCATTATAACTAAATTAACAATTAGTAATAATTTTTTGTTTTAACTTTTAAATGCCAACATTTTTATAAATTAAATTGAACAATATTTTTTAAAAAATAAAATTATTATTATTATTATTATTGGATCAATTTTTTTTTTAAAAATGTGTATATTTTTTGTCAATATTTATTGTATCATTAGGTCAAACATTTTAACTATAAATCAATTGAACAACTATTGTATCTTAAAATTAAAGTTAATTTTACAGTAATATATAATTTAAGTAATTAATAATTAATATTATTTTTAATAGTTTAAAATCAATTTATTTTATAATAATAAACAAAAATTATTATAATATTGTTTTTTATTTTATAAGTCAACAAAAATGGATAATAATATACAATTAAAAAAAATAATTTTAAATATATATTTAATTTTTTATCAATGAATTAAATAATATTTTTTTAATTGTTTTTTTTGTATAACATTTATATCCCTAATATACCGATATCTTCAATAAATATCTGCAATGTTTGAGCTTTTTTGATGTCTTGGTCGTCAAGTTTGCCGATTTCACCGTTAATATTGTTAAACATTTGCTGAAACATATCGTGAATCTATAATAATAATTAATTAATTAAATAAATAAATAAATAATAAGTAAACTTAAAACATATATTATTTATATAAAAAAATTAATTAATTAATAAACTATTAAATTTAAAAATTACTATAAATAAATATAAATTACTATTAACCTAATAATTATAAACTATAACTAAAAATAATTTATAAACTTATAGTATTTTTTTTTTAAATAAAACAATTACTTAATTATGATTAACTTATTAGAAAATTATTATTAAAAAAAATAATAATAATATTAATAAATCTTATTTATAACTTTTATTTAGTTATAATTAAAATTATATAATTAATTTATTATTAAATAAATACATTATTCTATACATACATATGTTATATAATATTTATTTATAAATAAATAAAAAATAAATTAAATAATTACCTTATAGTGTATGGGCGCCCAAAATAAATCAGCTAGATCACCTTTATTATGAATATAATTGGCTGCCCATAGTATACGATCAAGTAGATCATTTTGTAGCAATAGCCAACGGTGCTTGAGTGTAGCCAACGGTGCCGACAAACGGATCTCGTTTTTTCGTCGGACATCCAATTTGTTACCCAACCAGCGATAATCCTCCGTATTTTGGGCCAAATACATGTAGATTATCTGCGAGGCTGTACTGTTGGACGGGTAGGCATCGTCCATACGGGCGTAGGCAACGGGCATCAGTATGTCGACCAAATGGGTAATATTCTGGTAAAATTGTTGGACAATATGCAGGCCCTGGAGCTGGTATTTGTAGCCCTGTGGGTGTGTGAGTGTGTTTGAAAAATAAAAAATATTTATTATTTTTAGTAATAATTGTTTTTTTTTATAAATAAAAATATATTTATTAAAATAAAATATATTTATTAAAATAAAATATATTTATTAAAATAAAATATATTTATTAAAATAAAATATATTTATTAAAATAAAATATATTTATTAAAATAAAATATATTTATTAAAATAAAATATATTTATTAAAATAAAATATATTTATTAAAATAAAATATATTTATTAAAATAAAATATATTTATTAAAATAAAATATATTTATTAAAATAAAATATATTTATTAAAATAAAATGTTTTTTATTGTTAAGTTTAAGATAACTATTATTTTATAATAAAATGTTCCAAATAATTATACTAAAATTAATACTTAAATAATTAGTTTTTCATAATTTATATATTATTATAATTAACTTTTTTTTAAAAAAATAAAATCTAAATATAATCATGTAAATATTTAAAAAATAAATAAATGCTATCTGTGTATGTGTTTATTTAATAAACATAAAAAATAATATTTACAAAAAAATATAACCCTAAATACATGGGAGGGGGTGTTTAAGCAACCCTACTAAATAAATATATATTTAATAATAATAATAATAATACCTGTAATTTCATTTCGGCTTTGATAACCTCATTGTTTAAGTCAAGTATTTGACGTAATTCATGGACAGTATAATATTGAAACGTTTGTTGTGTGCGCCACTCGAAGTCCATTTTATCTGATGTGGGACTGCCATCTATACCCACACCCATACCTACAATATAATAAACATTTTTAAAAAAATAATTTTATTAAAATAACTGATTATAAACTGTAACTAATTAAATAACAGGACAAATAAAATAGATAAATATTACTTTATAAAAATTTATTAAATAGAATATATGTTTAATTATAATTAATTTTTTTTTGTTAAAATGTTAAAATTGATAATAAAAATTATTTCTAAATAAACTTATAAATAGGACTATTAAATTAATAATTTTTAATATATATCGATATTTAATTAATTAATAATTAATATAAATAATAATAATAACAAATACCTAAAAAATATAAACAAAATATAAATAAATATTTGCACAACATATTGATAAAAAAAATATTAATTTAATTTTTTTAAAGAAAATATTTATAAGTAAACTACTATTGATTATTTTTTTAAAATATAAAAATATATAAAAATATTATTAATCTATATATATGTTACCATGATCATATAAAGTAATATATATATATATACTATCTAATAAATGATAATTATTTAATTATATATTTTTAGTACATGAGAATAAATTTATTATAAAACACATGTTTTTTAACTTTGTATTGTTATAAATTTTTTTTAAAAATAATTATTAATAATAAATAATATTTATCAATATAAATCTAAAAATATATAATAACAATTTTTTTTTATTTTATTTAGTACATTTTATAACAATAGCCCTTATTTGTAACTTAAGATTAACCACCAATTGATTCAATAATTTTATTTAATATTATTAAATTAATAGATTTCTAAAAAAAATGTTAAATTACTTATTTAATTAATTACAGATTTTTATGATTAAATTTCCAAAAAAAAATTTTATAAAAATCTAACAATTAAACTAAATTATTTATATTATTATAATTATAAATATTATAAACTGTAAATTTTTATATAAGTAAAATAATAATAGTTTATGTATTACTGTAATAATAAATTTAATCAGTTATGCTAGGGTTGAAAATAAAACTTTAAATTAAATTAAAATAGTATTGATTATACATTTTTTTAAACACACAATTATATAAAATAATTTAATAAATATTTTTTTTATTAAATAACAATAATGTTTATACAGTATAAAATTATATATATGATATATAAATTTATATAGTTAATAAATATTTATTAGGATAAATTAATTCATGTTTAAAATGTCATAGTTTATTTAATAGTTTACATTTTAATAAAGTTATTTGAAAATTAAGATACAATACTTTCAATACAAATTGATTTTACTAAAATAAAATAATTTTAAAAAAATTAATCTTTATTATTATCATAATAAATATACTAATTAACTTAAAAATAATAATTAAAGTTTATAACAAACAAACACACACACACACACATAAATTATTTAATATTAAAAATAATATAAATTAAAAAATTTTATCAAGTAAATTTTGTAATAAATTTCGTAACCATAGTATAATTAATTATCCATGCTATTATATATAGATAAAATGTATGATAATTCATTTGAAACATATCCAGACAATAGAAACCAATTTTTCGGCCACTGGTTAATCGTTCAATAAAACTATAGATTTTCAATCGGTTAGTCATTGACATACCAACTGTCCTCCCATTGATAGTAGTAGACGATAACGCCAACAGTCTGTATAGTCGACGATAGGGTCGATGGGCGTAATGGGTAACCGATGCGCACTTGTAGTTAATCGATAATATCATTGTAGACAATACCACAAATATAATACCGGCCGATACCCGATTGGTCAGCCGATAACCGGGTGACAGTGCCAAATATAGGGCAATGTTGAGCAATGAGGCAGCGCACCAGTGTAGCGAAAATAATAACCGATTGATTACCCGATTTAATTCACGGGTATAACACGTACACACGCGGTGTCGGTGTATTGCACGCACTACGTGACGGATATTGCCTGATTGGTGACGACACGCCCGGGCAAACTGGTCGTCCAATTGGCGAAACTGTAGCTGCAAATAGTTTAGACTACTAGTCCAAAATCGATATTTACCGATAAATGTTGAATAAAAGTTTAATATACTTATCAATGCAATGGTTGACCAAATTGTAAAACTAGCTAACAGTGCGTATTGTTGTCTATGATTATGATTATTATGCGTAACTTTTAAATAGCCCATTATCATTGGTTTAATATTTGTTCTAGCTGAATTCAGTGTCATAAACCATAGTAAATATTCAGATAAAAATTGTTGATTAAATCGTAATGATTTCAAAAATTTAGCTTGATACTTTTGATTTAATCGATAAGCTAATTGACCATGCTTAATACGATTTAGATATTTAAATATGGTCATTGTACCATTGCGTTCATTTAAATAAATTATCCAGGTTATTGATAAATTAGCCAGATGACTCATAATCATTATTAATGCAATTAATAATTGATCTTGTTTCAATTGTATTTTGCTGCTTGCTAATAGTATAATATTGAGCAACCACCATGATGATAATTTAGTCGACGATGATAATGATCGATAAATAATCATGATCAATCTGAAAACAAATACTAGATCAGCTAGTTTAAATAATAAAAATTTTACTAGACGTTGTTTATGGTTTGCAGGTTTCCCGTTACTGTTGTTGTTGTTATTGTTTCCCGTTACAATATAACTGTTATCAAATTTATCCGATGACATTACATAGTATTTAGCTAGAAAATGTTCTAGCTTATTAATAGATAATTCTAATCCTTGTAGATTAACATGGTTAATTGTTGGTTTAGTTAATCCACTAGATACAATGTTATCTAGTGGATAAATTTTTTTTTATTATTATTATTATTATTATTATTTTGTTGATTCATTTTGTTATTGTTAAGTTAAGATTTTATTTTTTTTTGATATTTTATTAAATTAAATATTAGTTTAGTTAAAATAAATTAGTTTTTAAAATTTAGCAATTAAATATACTAACACCTAGATAGTTATTTTTTATATTATTTTTTATATAAATACTTACTAATAAATAAATTATGATATTTAAAAATAAATTCAAAACAAAAATATTTATTTATAATAAAATTGACAACCCAAATACAATTAATGATAATAAATTATATATCTATTTATATATAATATATATATTTCCACATAAAGTTATATATTTTATGCTTGAATTTATTAATTAATTATTATAATTATTATTTATATAAAATTTATTTTGTCTATAATAAAAACAAAACAAAAAATAAATATATATATAAAAAAATATAAATAATTAATTAATAATTGTCATGAAAATTATAAAAATAGTAAACTAAATAAATAGTGATTAGTATTATTGTAATTAATTTAATTAATCATTTTCAAACAAATAAGTTTTGATATTTAAATATTAATATCTAATTATATTTTTGATAAATTATTATATTTAATAAATTAAGAGGTAAACTAAAATATCAAATAATAATTTTTACTATATATATATTATGCTAGATATTAATATAATTAATCATTTTTATTTATTTATTTATATTTAACTATCAAATAATAGTAGAATAATATAATAAATATCAAATAAAATATAATAATTATAAAAAATATATTTTTGTCATGAAATTTATTTAAAGATACATATATATTATGAAACTAAATAAATAATAGTATTATTTATTAAAAATCATTTTATTAATTAATTTTTAAAATAAAATTTATAATCTAAACTTATAATAAATATAACAAATAAAAATAATTTAATAATATTATTATTTAAATAACTAGATGTAAAACTTAAGTTAGATATAAATATATTTATTTATTTATAATATTCATGTGTAATATAATAATAAAATATATGTCAAAATCATATAAATTATAATTGTTTATAATTTTTCTTTTAGTAATCCTTTTACAACTATTTAATTAAAAAAAACTAATAATACATTTATTTAATCAAATTTTATTTTTAAAAAAAAATTATTGCATTATTATTAATTAATTAATCAACAATAAAAAAAATCCAAATATAAATTTTGTATTTTATATCTTAAATAATATTTTTTGTTGATTAATTAATTTTGATATATCTAATTTTTGACTTATATGATAATTAAAAAAAAACTAAATATCATAAAAATAATTATAATAAATAATTGTTTGAATTGAAACAAAAATTATAGTTTAAATAAAAACAAAATCATTAAATCTATTTTTTCTAATTAGAGAAAAAATGTTTTATATTTTAATTATTATAAAACTAGTGATAATGTTTTCATTGTCTGTTTTATTTTAGTTAATTTATAATTTTAATTTATTTAAAAGTAAATAAATTGTATATTATATTTTTCTATTTATAAATATTTATTGATTATTTTAATTTTAAACAATTTTATATAATATTTTATATTAAAATTTACAAATTATTAATATTGCATATGTAATGAAAATATTTTTATCAAATGTTTATTATAATATATAAAAAATATTTATCATAATAATATATAGTATATCCAGGATAACTTTATCATTAAATAAAAAAATTATAAATAAATATTTATTTAAATAACAAAAAATAATTATTGTTAATAATTTATCTATAAATATAACCGATTATACTGTATATAAAGTTTGTATATAAAATAAATTTTTATAATAACTACTATTAAATAGAAAAACTAATATATATTTGTTTTTAAACAAAAAATGTTATTAAAAAATTATTATCATATCTACAGTCGTCTAACAAATTACTAACTATAAGTAACTATAATTTTTATTAAAAATTATTTAGAAAAAAATGATTATTTATTAAATATTATTTTTTTAAAATAATTTATTATTAAATATTATTTTTTTAAAATAATTTATTTTTAAATATTATTTGAAAAAAATAATTATTTATTAAATATTTTTTTAAAAATAATTATTTATTAAATATTTTTTTAAAAATAATTATTTATTAAATATTTTTTATTAAATATTATTTATTAAATATTATTTATTAAATATTATTTATTAAATATTATTTATTAAATATTATTTATTAAATATTTTTTTAAAATAATTTATTATTAAATATTTTTTGAAAAATAATTAATTATTAAATATTATTTTTAAATAATTAATTATTAAATATATATTTTATATTTTTTAATTTATACAGATAAAAAACAAAATGTCTATCAACAATAAAAATTAACTAGATAAATTATGCTAAATTTAACGTTAATATTGTTTGGGTATTGTCTAAAACTAATAGTAGTTAATTCAAGACAAGTTCAAAACAATTCAATCGGTAATACTGTTGGCAATCGTTATATATTGTCGGCTCGGATATGTAGCCGAAACAATAGCATCGGCGGCGGCGGCATCGGTATCGGTACTCAACAAGCCGTAGACTATCGGCAGACGCCAGTTATAGATCCGGTTCAGCGGTGCCCCTGGAGGTCTAGCACAGGTAATACAGGTATGGATGGAAAAATAGTAAAAATTTTCTAACAAACATTTCCATGAGAGTTTCTTGAAAAAAAAAATCTTTTTAAAATAGATAGATTTTTTTTTTAATGAAATTTTCTAGAAATTTATTTTAGAAACTTTATTGAAAATTTCTTTTAGAAATTTTCTAGAAATTTCTTTTAGAAACATTCTAGAATTTTATTTGAAATTTTATTAGAAATTTTATTAGAAATTTTCTAGAAATTTCTTTTAGAAACTTTATTGAAAATTTCTTTAAGAAACTTTAATGAAAATTTCTTTAAGAAACTTTATTGAAAATTTCTTTAAGAAACTTTATTGAAAATTTCTTTAAGAAACTTTATTGAAAATTTCTTTAAGAAACTTTATTGAAAATTTCTTTAAGAAACTTTATTGAAAATTTCTTTAAGAAACATTCTAGAATTTTATTAGAAACTTTTTAGAAATTTTCGAGAAATTTCTCTATTATTTAATAAAAATTATTTCGAAAAAACACTTTCACATTCAGGCCCGGACTATCATTGCTCATGGTATCCCCAGCCAACCTATGGACTTAACTACTATAGGGCAGTACTGGTACGAACCCATGATAACAATAGGCTATAATCTATTGGACAGCCGACAATGATAGGACGGGTCGGGTAGTTGTCGACGATGCTCGTTGGCTGAATCCGAAATGGCAGTGCAGGGACAGGATAGACGTTAGCTGGAGAAGCGCTGGCGATAGAAAAACATTAAACCGGATGATTGAAATTGCCAAATGCCTGACTAGGCAACCATGGAAACCGTCAATAGATTGTACATGATAATATTAAAATTAATAAATTATATAGATAATAATTATAATTATAATAATTAAGTTATTTATATTTGATTTTATTTCCGCCGCCGATTTAGTAATTTTCAATAAAATGTTTTATTTAATTTATTTAAGATTAAATATTATTATTATTTTTTTTTATTTTAGAATAATATAATTGTTGTCTAAAAATTTATTCTATATGTTTAATATATATATTATATATATATATATATATATATATATATATATATATAGAATTAAAGTATTTTTTTATATCTAGAAAATTATAAGAAAAAAAATTATGATATTAAAAATAAATTATATAAATAAATTGTTTCGTAATAATTTTTATTTAATCTAAATAAGTTTCATCTAAAATATTTAAACAAAAATATATTTTAATTTATTTAATTTTTACTAAATATAATTTTTGTAAAAGTTGCATCAATATATATATATATATATATATATATATATATATAATCTATATAATGATTATATATTTAAATAGATATATATTATTGCGTTACTATTAATACAAAATTAGGCTAAACATAATTTTTTTTAGTTTATCATAATATAATTTTTTTTATACAAAATATTATTTTATAATAAATAATTTTTTTATATCTAATTTTTTTTATTAAAAAATAAAATATACAAGTAATTAGTTTTAAAAATTTAATTTACATTTAAAAAAATGTATAAATACTGTTGGCTTTTCAATAATAATTCTAATTAGAAAATAAATACATTTAGTAATAGTTAACTGTTTTATAAAAAAAAATTTTAGAAATTATTGTAAGTATTATTGTTTGATTAATAAATTATTTTTATAAAATAAATATATATTATTTTGTTAGTTTATTATTATTATAACTAAACTTAATGATAATTTAAAATTAAACAAATCTAAACAAAAGTTCATATAATTATAATTTAATTATATAAAAATATTTATATAAAAAAAGTTAATTTAAGTTTTAATTAATTTTAATTTTTTTTTAGTATTAATCTACTAATCAAAACTAGGGTCCAACAAAAACGATTGATATGTCCAACAAAAAAAAATATACTGGCTATTTTAGTAGCCATCAGCATATCAGCACTGGTAGTCAATGGTTCTAATGGACTATCCTATCCTATGGCTATCGCCAGGAGCGTATAGTATCGGCCCAAACGTGTTAGCCGACCGACGCAGGACACACCCAAAATGGCGAAAATAGATGATCACCCGATGATCACCAAGGTGTACTAGTACGTACCGATAAAAATAATAACTATTTGATACATAACGTACCCCGTGATGGGGTAGTGGTTACCGATGCCCGACATATGAGTAATAAATGGCGGACATCATCAGGAAGCGCGGTTCAGATTAGTGGCCAGAAAACAGTTGGCGGTGCCCTACGTACCGGCCAGGGATCCAATAGACATATGGACAGTGGTTTAGATAGCTATCTAACTGGTCGTACATGTATTGGTACGGCAAATAGAGTTTGCAATTATTTGGGAAATTAAAATAATTTGAAATTAATTTTTAAAAATTTTCAATAATAAAATATATTGAAAATTAATGTTTTTTTCAATAAATAATTTTGTTTATATAATATATTATTAATATATAGTAAATTCAATAAATATTTTCATATATATATAATTTATATATTAGTAATAAAATAAAAACTTATGTACAATATTTAAAATAATTTCTATTATAATATATTAATAAAAAAAATATTTGAAAAAAATGAAAAAAAATCTTTGGCAAATTTTTTATTTTCTTTAAATATATAATTATTCAAAATATTTATTTTAAAAATTTTACAATAGTAACACTAAATTTATTGAATTTAAATATTTAAAATTTAAAAATATATTTCAATTTGAATTTCTATATTAATAAATGTTTCTGAAATAAATTTTTTTTGTATTTTTTTTAATTTTAATAAAATTTTTATTTAGTCATTTGATAACAATTACTGAATGTTGCTAATTATAAGTTTCTGTTTTTTGTGTTTTTATAATTATTGATAAAATTGTTTTTTTTATAAAAAAAATTTGACCTTGAAATTATCATATATTTATTATTATATAAATATTTTTATTATATATTATGATGCAATATATATATATATATATATATATATATATATTATATATTGAAGTTATTAATCTTATTTATAAAAATATTTTATTTTTAAAAATCATCAAAAAATTATATATATAATCAACCAAAAAATATTGATAATAAAAAAAATATAAACCAATATATATATATATAATTTTATTTATAAGAAAAATTATTTTAAAAAATATATAAAAAAACAACGACAACAACCGCTGAGGGAATCGTTGTCGGGAATAGATTGTTCCCGTTTAGGGATTAGACCAATCAGTTTGTTAACTAATACTATAGACACTGATCGTGATTTTGTTGACAAATCGGGTCCGATTAGATCCGGACTTCGGGTTATATATGTCTAGACATATATATATATATTATAATTAAGAATAATTATATCAATTTAGTAAATAATATTATAATTTTTTTAAATATATTTAAACTAAAAAATTATTATATAATTATAAATTATACAATGTATATTTATCTATAATAATAAAATATTAATTTGTAATAAAACAAATTTAAAATTTATAATATATAATATATATGAATTAATAAATAATATTTTTTTTAATTAATAAATAATTTTTTAAAAAAAATTATTGAATAAATTATTGTAAAAAAGTAAAATATAAATACTGTAGTATTTAAATATTCATTCTTTAATTATTAACAAATTATTTTTTAATACTAGTTAACTTAGTTTTTCAAAAATAAATATTAATATAATTATTAAACTAAAACATATAATATTTTTTTTTAATTATTACTTAAATTAGTTTTTTAAAAATTATTATATAATTATTAGACTAATAGTATTAGTATTAAGTATTAAATGTTTTTAAATTATTATAATTTAATATCTGATAAATAATAAATTTAAATCTTTATACTTATAATTATAATAATATATAAATAACTAATTATTATTTTAATTTCTAACTATTTTCATTATATATTATAGAAAAATATATAGAAAAAAATTTATTACAATATTTTTTTTTGAAATACACCAAAAAAAATATTATGTAAAAAATATTTATCAAATTTTATTTTAACACATAAAAAATATTATATAATAATATACTGTACTTTACAATCAGTAAATCTTTTATATTAAGATTTTACAGTTAAAGTTAATAACAAATAAAATTATTATTTTCATTAATATTAATATTTATATTATATTTATATGGTATATACCGACTAAAAAGTACTAATAAAAAAAGATAAAATTTAAAAAAATTTTATAGTATATATATAAAAAAAATTTATTAAAAAATTATTAATAAATATAAATTATTTTCATTATCAACAGTCGTCTATGGATAGGACAAGTATTTAAATTTAGTAAATAAATTTTTATATATTTTTTGAATAAATGTCTAATTTTTATAAATAAATTTCTTTTATAAAAATATTTCAGAAATTTAAAAACTGTCAGAAAAATATGTTAATCAAAAAATTTAATAATTTTAATAATAATAATACGATATTATTGGTGGCAATCCTAATTAATTTATTATTATTGGCAAACTGTTATAGCTATATATTATCGGCTCGAATATGTAGCCGAAGCAATAGCGGCAACAATGACGGCAGCGGTTCTCAATCATTAGACTTTCGGGAGCCGGTAGCCCAAGGGTTAGAAATATGGCCATCGCCACCATTGCACACATTGTCCTATTATCGGGCCGTACAAGTCATTACCAACGATAACGATCGGTTGCTTATCTATTGGACACCACAAATGGGTACAGTTGTGTCCAATTATCGTTGGATTAATCCGAACTGGGAATGTCTGGATGAGATAGACCTGACCAAAATTACCGTCGGTACTACTATTCGCAAAACAATTAACGGTATGATTGAAATAGCTAAGTGTCTAAATAGTCAAGAATCGCGGGAATCTCCGGGAGTAAATTGTTCCGGTATATGGATTAAAGAAAATAATTTATTTACTAATAATATATATACTGATCCTGATTTTGATGACATATCCGATTTTTATTTCACCACTTAATTTTTAGACTAAATGTTAAATTAATTATCATGTAACCTATTTTATAATTGAGAATATTATGCATTTAATAACTATATACTAATTTGATTTTTTTTTTATAAAAAAGTTGAATAAAAATTATAATACATTTAAATTTAATTAGTAATTCTAATTACTAACTAATTATTTTCAACATATAATTAACTTAGTTTTAGAAATTTATTTTTTAAACTTAGTATTAATATAATTATTTAATAAAACATAAAATAATTTTTTGTAAATTTTGTGAATTATTACTTAACTTAATTGAAATACTAGTATATATATTTTGATATATAATTATTAGTAATAGTATTATATGTTTTAGTTATTATAATTATTGATAAATTTAAATTTATTTAACCAAAAATTTTCATGTTAACAAACTTTTCTTTATTTGAATATTTAATACACTAAATGAAATGATATATGAAATAATTATTTTATAATAAAATTGTTGTTTTAGTTTAAAAAAAATTATTAACTTATTATTAGTATTAATACTAGTTAATAATAGTTTAATAAAAAAAATTAAACTATGTATTAATTTAATTATTAAATAAAACATAAAATAATTTCTAGCATTAATTGCATAAAATTAATGTATTATATAATGATTTAAAATTATCAATAATTTTAATAACAAAAACAAAATATTAATGAATTGTTATCAATAACTAAATGAAATTTTATTAAATAATTAATTGAATGTTTTTTATTTTTGTAATTTTAAGTATTGATAAATTTAAATCTTTGGACTTTAATTATCATAATAWATGAATAACTAATAAWTATYTAAATTTATAACTATTTTCATTATATAWATATATATAGATAAAAACAATTACAATATTTTTAGGAAATTCACTAAAAAAATATGGTGTGATATAAATACTTATCAAATATAAATCATATTTTTTTTAATTATTTGCAATTTTAGTAGAAAACACTAAATTTATTGTTTTTAATTGAGGTATAAATATAACTAACATTAAGTCATAAAATATAATATTAAAAAAATGTTATTAATATAATAATTGCTAATTAAAAATAATAATAATAATATATAATTCATTAAAGACTTATTTTTCATAAAAACTGTTTACAGAAACTAATGTAAAATAAATTATTTATTTATTTATAGATATTTTTTAAAAAATGTTTTTTTTTTGTTTATTTTTATACAGATTTTTTTATTGAAAAAATATGGCAAACAGWAAATCAACTAGATACATTTTGTATATAACTGTATTGTTGGCGGCAATCCTATGCAATTCATTGGCAAACAGTTATAGTCGTAGCGATAATACCTATATATTGTCGGCTCGGATATGTAGCCGTAGCTACAATAGCGGCGGCGGCAGCCGTACAGACACCTACTACAGGTAGAGATGGAAAACAATTAGAAAGTTTCTAATAAATTTCCCATTGATAGAAATTTCATTTAGAAATTTTCTAATAAATTTTTTTTATAAACTTTCTTGAAAATTTCTTTTAGAAACTTTATAATAAATTAGTTTTAGAAACTTTCTAATAAATTTCTTTTAGAAACTTTATAATAAATTAGTTTTAGAAACTTTCTTATAAATTTCTTTTAGAAACTTTCAAATAAAWTTCTTTTAGAAACTTTYTAATAAATTTCTTTTAGAAACTTTCTTATAAATTTCTTTTAGAAACTTTCTAATAAATTTCTTTTAGAAACTTTCTTATAAATTTCTTTTAGAAACTTTCTTATAAATTTCTTTTAGAAACTTTCTAATAAATTTCTTTTAGAAACTTTCTAGAAATTTCTCTGTTATTTTTTAATAAATTTTTTTTTCTTTTCATTTTTTTCCCTGCCAACACTAACAACAGGCAACAACAGCCGCCAACTGCCTATACATCCCTGTCCTACTATCGCGGTGTACTCGTCCGTACCTACGATAACGATCGTCTACTAATCTATACGATACCCGATATGGGTACGGTTGTGGCCGACGGCCGMTGGATTAAYCCGAACTGGCAATGTCTGGATAGGATTAGCCTAAGCGGCTGGAAAACTATTGACGGCATACTAAATGTTGGCAAATGTCTTATGAGGCAACCCTGGGAATCGTCGATGGATTGTTCAGTCAAACAGATTAGACAATATCTGGAATTATCATCAGATAATTATGTTCACAATGATGATAGACATCCAAGTTTTCCGCCTCTTCCACCTCCTCCTCCTCCGTCCGTTTTATTTAACGATGTTTCGGCTCCTGTATTATCATCAACCCCTGTACCCCCCCCGTTACTAGATTTGCCCAGGTAACGGTTTAGGTGGACACGTTTAACAATATAAATGAATTAAAAATGTATATATATATACAATATAATTACTTATATGATTTTTATTTAATTAATAAATTACTCAACAACCAAAAAATTAATAAAATTAAAAATTTTATTGATATTAAATTAAAAATTTTATTGATATAAAAAATTTCAGTTCTATTAATATTATTGATAAATTTAAAATATAATTTTATAAAAAAAATCATTTTATTACATAATACATTTTTATAATTCATATAAATATTATACAATTTTTTTTGACAATATTTAATATTATTTTCACACACACATTAGTTATAAATATGTAATCATATACTGATTATTATTATTTAGTTATTTGATAATTTAAATTATAAATATAAATTTTTTTAGATAATATTAATAAATCATTAAATGCTTACACAATTAATTTTATTGTGAAATTATTTATTTTTAAAATTATAGTTTATTTAAATTATATAATTTTTGTAAACAATCATTTAATAACAAATATAAGGGTAGATTAACATATAAAAAAATTTATTAATTTTTTAAAAACAAAATTTAATCGCATATTTAAAATTGCATATTTATACAGTAATGTTGATAATAAATTATAGTAATAATAAATAAATTAMACAAAAAAAAATTATTTAAATTATATCTATTTATTTTTTTAATTTTATTGATTTTAAATTTCCATTGATATAATTATTGATAAATTTTTTTAAACCTATGAACTATAATTTGCATACAATTTGCAAATGATATATAAATTTTTTTTTTAAAAAATATATTTTTTTTATTACAATTATATCACAAATTTATAAATAAAAAAATAWGTAAATGTACAAATCAATAATTTAAAATTTAAATATAATTAATATYAATATAWATGTTATATCTAAAAYAAAATAAGMAAATAATCAATTTTATTTTTTGAAAATAATTTTAATATTATTTTTTTAACCAAAATCTAATCGCATATTTAAAATACTAATAATACTAATAAATTAATTACATCAACAAAAATTATTTAAATTATTTTTATTTTTAAGTCCTATAATTATTGATAAAATTTTTAAACTATGAACTATAATTTGCATATTAAAGCAATGATATGTTATTAAAAAAAAGTTTATAATAATTTTTTTTTATTATAATTATATCATAAATTTATAGACAAAAATAAGTAAATATAAATAATCAATAATTTAAAATATTAAAATTATTTTTAAAAAATTAATCAAAAATTTAATAAGATTTTTGTAAAAAAATACATATTTACGGTATATCAAAGACAAAATTTATCAATAAATGAAAAATTTATTGATTATTTTATAGTTAAAATATTAATMAATAAAATATATTGTTTTTTAATTACTATAAAAATATCGATACATTAAGTCTAATATTTAAATTAATGTAAATTAATGTTATAATTAAAATATTTTTTTTAAATATTATTTCTATTTTATTATTAATTTTTTATTATTAACAGATTCTACAAAAAATCAACTATAAGTATATAAATTTAATTAATTTTTATTTTTTTGTATATATATATATATAAWTTTGTAATTTATTTTTTAATAGCTACAAAAAAATGTTAACAAACAAAAATTTCACTAGATACATTTTGTTTGCCATAATAATAATAATAATAATTAGTRGTGCAAACAGTTATCACTTGACTACTAMTMACMACAAYAATAATAATAATTATAATATCTATATAGTATMGGCACAGTTATGTTGCCTAAGCTGTACTACAGACAGCCGGCWGGCGSTKMTGCCGGCCGAGGCCTATACATACCAGTCCTCCTCCTCCTCCTACTATCGGGCAGTACTGATCTGTACCAATCATAACGATCGGCTACTTATCTATTGGACAGCCTCGACGGGTATAGTAGTAGCCGATGCCCGTTGGATCAATCCTAACTGGCAGTGCCGGGATCGGATAGGTATGGGATATGGGTAGAGATGGGAAACTAGAAAGTTTCTAGAAAATTTCTCAGGAAATAAATTTCTATAGAAATTTAACACTTTAATTGTGATACTATGGTGATCCCTATATATATATATATATATATACAGTAGTTATTGTAATACAATATTAATATTATATTATACTAAACAATATATAGTACAGTACTATACAAATGGGATACCTCTCTCTCTMTATATATATATATATATAAATTAGTTATAATTATTTAATAATAATTATTTTTTTTTTGTAAAATTGTATTTATCATTTTATTATATATACATTATATATCAGAATGTAGTTTATTTTTTTTTTAATTTAATTAATAATTTAAAAATACTAATAATAATAATAATAATTATATTTACGGTAATATGTATTGTTATATATTGATGATGGTAAATATCGAGATTAAAAAAAATTAACCATTGGGGTTGGGGGGGGGGGGTAGAGGATCCCATAGATAGAAATTTCATTTAGAAACTTTCTAGAAAWTTCTATATTATTTTTTGTAAATTTCTTTTATTTTTTTTAACAAACACTAGATATTGTTGAAAWCGGTTGGYCATCGAAAACAATTGAYTGTCTTATATGGGCGGCTAAACAATGTCTTCAACAAACATTATGGWCGWCSCAAWCGCTATCGACTAACGATTGTATGGTTAATAAGATTAGACAATATTTAGAWGAAAAAAAWTCATATAATTATTATAATAATTATAATAATTATTGTTTAGCTGGATCAAAATAAATAAATTTATGTTTGTTTAAAAAAATAATACAAACCAGGTAAATTATATGATACTATTAATTATAATTAATAAATAGATATACTTATATATGTATTATATTGTTTAGAAATAAAACTAGTAGATAGCAACTAAATATTGATTTATTAGATTTTTTTTATAGTTTAATATATATAAAATATATAATTATTTTTAATATATGTGTTAGATTCTAGATAAATTTTAATTAAATTAATACAATGCTATAATAAATATGTTTAATTATATATATTTCTAAAATTACTGATTTTTATTTTAAATAAATAATATCATTTTAATATATTATACATTAGAATAAGTAATTTATTTATTTATTTAATAATTAATATTAGTTTCACACATGTAATCAAATATGATTACAGTATTATATAGTTAAGTGATAAAAAAATTATAAATATTTATATATATATATTGATAATTTAATAAATCAATAAATGCTTAAACAATTAATTTTATTGTGTAACAATATTTTTTTAAAAAATTATTATATAATAATTTATGATAAATTATAGTTTATTTAAATAATCATAAATAACACAAATATACAGGTAGATTAAAAATACAACAAATAAAAACTTTATATAAATAAATATATAAAATAATTTTATTCATTATATATTTGAAATATAATATTGTAGCAATTTCCGTGCGGTGATTTACTAATATAGGTTCAGAGATAGTACTCTGTCAAAGCCGCGCTTACTATCACCTTCTCCAGCGGTAAAGTTGACACGAAAGCTACACGGATCATCACCTCCAAGATGATGACACCCTCAACGACAGCGATTGCAACGTTTTCTCAACGATATTTATACTTTCAATTTATAAGCGCTTTATTTGCACTAAAATAAACACTAGTAATTAAAACACACTTACCTTTGTTTCTGCCAGACGTCCCGATCCTGTCGTTCATTCAGCTGCTTCGTTGTTTGTCGTTCTTTGTTTACTATCTATTCACGATTTACACTTGATATACTCACGCGTTTACACTACTTACGCATTTTTATACATACCAATTTCTTACTCTATTATACTTAACCTATGTCCGACTCTTCAGTCAGAACTACTACTTAGATCTATGTTTTCATAGATCTAAACCCATTATTCGACTATTACAGTCTGCAAATGTCTCGATCGGTGTTTCCACCGAGAGACAAACCTTAATGTAACATTTCTGTTACCTATTAAATCTATGTCTCGATCGGTGTTTCCACCGAGAGACAAACCTTAAGGTAACATTACTGTTACCTACTAAATCTATGTCTCGATCGGTGTTTCCACCGAGAGAAAAACCTTAAGGTAACATTTCTGTTACCTACTAAATCTGTCTCGATCGGTGTTTCCACCGAGAGACTAACCCTTATATAACCATATCAGACTATTATAGTCTGATATTACACCATGACCCGATGTTTTCATCGTGATCTATGTCTGATCTATGCTCCCATAGATCGACACGTTACATGCTGAATCCACGCTCCCGCAGATCGGCATACATTAAACTATGTTTTCCTTGTGGAATAAAACACTTACTCTTAAACGATGTAGTTGAATCCGTTTTGAGTTGCTGATGTAATCCTGCCATAACTAGCATTTAAATTATTTCGCAAGCATATAACTTCTTAAGGGACTCAGGGCCGAAGGCCCGAGCCCCTCGAAACACTTACTCTTTAGTTGTGTTAAATACCTTTATTATTGTGTTATAAAGTATAAAATACAACTCAAGTATAAAACTTCACGTCTATTCACTTTGAACACTCGATGAAAACTCCTTGAGAGCTAGTCAACGACTAACTCTCTTTACTCTGAAAAAATCATATTCTATGACGTCTTTCAGCGTAATCTCTCTGTTTCCAATCAAATAACTATACGGTTACTAACTAAACTAAACTTATAATCATTGGATATTAAACCAAAACCAACAACTACATTGTTAAACCCCAAATACTATGTGTACACCTTATGTACTAAATAAATAATTATTAAAATAATCCTATAACTGCAATACTTTATGGAACCTTGAAATCATATAACATAACGTTATACATAATAATCATATAAATAAAACTGAATAAATGTGATAACATTAGTAGCCGACATCGGCCGATATAATAAAAAACTCTCTCACAATTTAACTATTAACCTAATTCACGTGAAGTATCACAATATGTCGATTTTATTTTTTTTAATGTGTAATAATTTTTATTTTATTAATTGCGAATTATTATTATAAATTAAAGTACATTAATTATATTTATAGTTTTTTTAATAAATAAAACTATAGTTTCAATATATATTACACACACACATACAATGAAGACA